GTTTAAGTTCTTCGTGCGAACAATTAAGAAGCTTCAAGTGGCCATCAGTCGGGCCCAGGAAACTACAGGAAAGCATTCAACAGGAAAACGGAGAGAGGAGATCTGTTTATGTGCGGGCCTGGGGACGAAGGTTTTGGCTTGGCGACGGGTCCAATCTAAAGGTGCTCTGCCCGTTCAAAAAATATTGGGACCCAAATTCTTAGGCCCCTTCTGCTTTAAACGGATGGTTTATCGAAAAGTTGCTATGAACTCGCCCTCCCTGACACGCTCAAGATCCAACCGGTCTTTAATGTATCCCTTTGTGAGGGGTGGTAAGCCTGTGGTCCCAGTACGCCTTCACCTGGACCGGGAAATCTAGGTCCCCCCGGAAGCGTAACGGTCGAAGGAGAAGAAGAATTTGAGGTTGAAACTATCCTGAAGTGTCGAAGGAGGGGAGGCCCAGTACCCCAATTCCTTATCAAAATGGAAGAGGGCTATGGTCCCTAGAGGACAATTCTTGGGAACCAGCCCATAATGTCCATGCACCCAGAACTTGTCCGGAGGTTCTTTCGCGACTCACACCGTGGTGGAGAGATCGGGTGGGCATCTCGACCGGAGGTTGCCCGTAGGGGGGGGCAATGTCAGGGATCCCCTCGATCCCCGCCGCGTTGGTCCAGGCGCAGGCGCCAGTATGCCGCCCGGCGCAGGGACTCGAGCACTGGTTCCGGGCCGGCCGCGGCGTTCGAGTTCGCGCATTGCGCAGTAGAAGCCGCGGCCATGCGCCCCGCTGGGCACCAATGGCAGCGCAGGGCGGGATTATTAAACGACCCTGAGCTGTCATTCAGTGCCTTCTGGTCTTTCCTGCATTCTGAATCCTGTGAACCTGTACCCTGTAAGTTATTGACCCGGATTGTACCTGACCTTGCTGTTTTCTCCTGTTCTGACCCTTGCTTTGCCTGACCTCTCTCCTGAATGCCCCCTATTGGATTTGACCTGCTTGTTGCTGACCTGGCGTGTGACCCGACCATTCTATGCCCGCTGCCTTGTACCTTGCCGCCCTCTCTGTTACCGACCCGGCCCGTCTGACCCTGCTCATCCATCCATCCATCCCGTGCAGTGGGGTCTTCTGACCTCCTCACATCAGACTCTTCCCCGTGGGAGCCCCTTGCGCATACTACTACCACTGACGGACGCAACCCGGTAGTCACGACCTGGTCTCAGGGAGCTCCAAGTCCATCCCCACCATCAGGGGCCCTGGTGAACAAGCACCCTGGGACTTAGACTCCGTGCTCTGGGGGACGCCTATTCAGTGGAGTGCTAGTAGTACCGCCGGGCGGTCCCTTACACCCTGAGGTACAAATTCTGTTCCCTGAGGTACAATTCTGTGTCCCTGAGTAACGATTCTGTGTCCCTGAGTAACGATTCTGTGTCCCTGAGTAACAATTCTGTGTCCCTGAGTAACGATTCTGTGGTCCCTGAGTAACGATTCTGTGTCCCTGAGTAATGATTCTGTGTCCCTGAGTAACAATTCTGTGTCCCTGAGTAAACAATTCTGTGTCTGTCCCTGAGTAACAATTCTGTGTCCCTGAGTAAACAATTCTGTGTCCCTGAAGTAACGATTCTGTGGCCCTAAAGTCTCTCTGGCCCTAACATCTGTCCCTAATACAGACAGGGTGTCTGTCTCTCTTGAATGACCGGAGGCTAATGAGATGGCCGCAATTTATAGCTCCACCATTACACAGTGCTGGCTGGCTGGCTGCTGATTGGCTAATGCGATCACATGTCATGGAATGAATGCATTATGGGTCAGCGCTGCCTTGTCTGCGCGCGCCTTCCCAGAGATCCCCGCTCCGTCTCGCCCACACATGTCCGCCCGCCATTTTTGGGAAAAATTCGATCGTGCATCCGAAGTTTGCTAATTTTCGGATTTGGCCGCGGGCGGGGCGAATCAAATTTTTCCTGATCTTCGAAACGAATTCCACTTCGCCATGTTCGATTCGCTCATCTCTAGTTATTGCATTTTATTTACATCAGCAGAAGCATGCCTGATGTAGGGGTCCTACGTGGCTCCGAAACATTGCATCTATAATTTTAGTGTGATCGCAGAATAAAGATTTGGACCCGTTCTGAAAATCCTTGGCGTGCTGGTGACATACTTCTCGCTTTGTGAGTATCTTCAGTTACCAGCTAGTGGTCACTATAGCGCCCACGTAGACCTACAGACATTTTTCAGGAACATGTGCCTTGGGAATAAGTGTATTTCAACTCAGGAAGTAGCATTTAATGTGTGGTTTGTGCAAAAGGAGAGGATCCATATTTTATTCATAGCTTTAAACTTGCTATCCCTGCCATAAGGACAACCCCCACCCCTATTCAGTGGAGACCACATGGACAGTGCCCAGTTATTTATCACATGACCAGCAGATGTAGGGCCATAACTACAATTTCTTCTGCTATTTCAACAATGAGACCTTGCCTACACTCATGCTTCATGAATTCTAGGGGAACAGGATAAGCCCTTTGTCAGGGCTCCCAGGTATGTCAGAGGTGTGTGGACTGATGCAGGGAAACGCAGACTTCAGATAATGTGATAAACAATACAATTTATTAAACACTAAACCATACAAACATAAACGCAGTGCAATACTAAAACATAATACAGTGCAAAACAAAACCCAACCAAATCACCCACAGATAACAGTACATACAAGCAAGCGTCGTCAGCAGGGACGGCCGGGTCAATATCAATTGGGCAGGTAGGTACAGGGGAGCAAGCAGAAGAATGGGTCGGGGTCACAGGCCAGGTTCAGCAGGTAGCAAGCAGCGTTTAGTACAGAGGGTCAGGCAGAGGGATGGTCAGGGTCACAAGCCAGGGATCAAAACAGGTAACAAGCAGCGTAGTACAGAGGGTCAGGCAGAGGACACAAAAACAGGATGCAGGACAGATACAGGGCCCAGGACAAACACAACACCAAGGCAGAGTCTGTGGGTCTGGCCATCCCTTAAATACCCCAGCATCATCAGTTCCAGGTTTAGCTGGCTGAAAGGTTGAGTCTCCTGATTGCTGGGAGCACCCGCTGGCCAGCACTGGTACTGCAGATCAAAGGCAGGTGTGTCCCACCATTGCTGCCAGTCCATTCCTGACAGTACCCCCCCCCTCAAGGAGCGGCCCTCAGGGACGCTCCACCAAAACAGTCCTAGCTGGGCAAAAATGTTCCACCGCCCGGGGTCTGGTAACTGGCGGGATATCAAAGACTGGCACACCGGGCAGGACCCGCACCGGGCAGCGGCACACCCATGGCTGGGACTCCGGGCAGAGGCACACCGGGCTGGACTCCGGGCAGAGGCACACCGGGCTGGACTCCGGGCAGAGGCACACCGGGCTGGACTCCGGGCAGAGGCACATCGAGCAGAGGCACACCGGGCAGAAGGCACACCGAGCAGAGGCACATCGGGCAGAGGCAACATCGGGCAGAGGCACATCGGGCAGGACTCCGGGCAGAGGCACATCGGGCAGGACTCCGGGCAGAGGCACACCGGGCAGAGGCACATCGGGCAGGACTCCGGGCAGAGGCACATCGGGCAGGACTTCGGGCAGAGGCACATCGGATTACCAGGCGAAGCAGCAGCAGCAGAGGGCCCCCGGGCGGAGCAGCAGGCACCGGGCCCCCGGGCGGAGCAGCAGCACCGGGCCCCCGGCGGGGCGAACGGGCCCCGGGCGGGCAGCAGGCACCGGGCCCCCCGGGCGGAGCGGCAGGCACCGGGCCCCCGGGCGGAGCGGCAGGCATCGGGCCCCCGGGCGGGGCGACAGGCATCGTGCCCCCAGGCGGGGCGACAAGGCATCGTGCCCCCAGGCGGAGCGGCGGGCGCCGGACCCCCCAGGCGGAGCGACAGGTCTCGGGCCCTCAGGCGGGGCGGCGGGCGCCGGGACCCCCAGGCGGAGCGACAGGTCTCGGGCCCTCAGGCGGATCCGGCGGACTGAGCGGCGGGTCGCCGGGACCCCCAGGCGGAGCGACAGTCTCCGGGCCCTCAGGGCGGAGCGGCGGGCGCCGGACCCCCAGGAGGAGCGACAGGTCTCGGGCCCTCAGGCGAGCGCGGGCGCCGGACCCCCAGATGGAGCGACAGGTCTCGGGCCCTCAGGCGGAGCGGCGGCGCCGGACCCCCAGGTGGAGCGACAGGTCTCGGGCCCTCAGGCGGAGCGGCGGGCGCCGGACCCCCAGGCGGAGCGACAGGTCTCGGGCCCTCAGCGGAGCGGCGGGCGCCGGACCCCCAGCGGAGCGACAGGTCTCGGACCCTCAGGCGGAGTGGGCGGGCGCCGGACCCCCAGGCGGAGCGACAGGTCTCGGGCCCTTAGGCGGAACGACAGGTCTCAGGCCCCCAGGCGGCAGGGCGGGCACCGAGTCACCAGGCAACAACCGTGGGCTCCGAGTCAACTGGGATGACCGCTGGCACTGGGGTCAGACATTGATCGTCTGGCTGGACAGCGGGCATCGGGTCACCAGGCATCAGGTCATTTGGCTCGACAGCGGGCACCGCGCCATCTGGCAAGGCAGTGGGCTCCGAGTCAACTGGTATGACCCGCAGGCACTGGGTCAGACATTGGATCGTCTGACTGGACAGCGGCACTGGGTCACCAGGCATCAGGTCATTTTGGCTCGACAGCGGCACCGCGTCATCTGGCAAGGCAGTGGGCTCCGAGTCAACAGGCACGACAGTGAGCACCGGGTCATCAGGTACCGGATTGTCTGGCTCGACAGCGGGCATCGGGTCTCACCAGTATGACAGCGGGCACTGGGTCACCAGGCATCAGGTCATTTGGCTCGACAGCGGGCACCGGGATCAGGTACCGGATCATCTGGATCAACAGCGGCATCGAGTCAACTGGCCTAATAGGATCGTCAGGCTGGATCAGTTCATCATGCTGGGTAGAGGCATCAGGCTGAATGCCGGCGTCCGGCTGAGTATAGAGGCTTCAGGCCGAGTAGAGGCTTCAGGCCGAGTAGAGGCTTCAGGCCGAGTAGAGGCATCAGGCCGAGTAGAGGCTTCAGGCCGAGTAGAGGCTTCAGGCCGAGTAGAGGCTTCAGGCCGAGTAGAGGCTTCAGGCCGAGTTAGAGGCATCAGGCCGAGTAGAGGCATCAGGCTGAAGAGAGGCATCAGGCTGCGTACCCGGCATCAGGCTGAAGAGAGGCATCAGGCTGAGTAGAGGCTTCAGGCTGAGTAGAGGCTTCAGGCTGAGTAGAGGCATCAGGCTGAAGAGAGGCATCCGGCTGAGTAGAGGCTTCAGGCTGAGTCACGGAAGGCAGGCTCTACACCGGTTTGGATACTGGCAGGATGGTATTGGTTGGAAAGAATTTTTGCTTTTTTCTGGTTTCAACTACTGGAGCACTGCAAGTAAACGCAGGTCTGCAAACGAATGGAGCAAGCTGGAGACAGAGAAGAACTGGAGGATGGAACAGGAGAGGGAGCAGTTGCTACAGAGGGCTCTTTTACAGGGTTAAAGGCAGGATAGTGCAGCGAGTGGGAACAGGGTACTGACATGCGGTAGAAAGCAGGGCAGGAGGAGCTGTTGGGAATGCAGGAATAGAGTTTTGAGGAATAGATTAGAAGCAGGACTGGTCTTTGTAAGCTGACTGAGGCTGGGTGTAACAAATCTGTCCATGTCTGCAGTATGGGTTGAACAAAGCTGAGCTTACACAAAGCCTGTCTGGTCAATGACTGCACTGCGTTTATACAATCTCTTAGTGTCTGTGGTGAACATGTGGAATAACACTCCAGAAAGTAACCCACATCATCCTCTAATAACCACACCAGGGACTCTACCTGGTCTGCACTAAATGGTGGCAAAAATTCATCCCTGCATTCGGGGGTACCAGATGAAACCAACTCAGCACAAAACTCAATCAATGGCTGCACCTCAGAGAACTCTGTGCCCTGATCTACTAGAACATGAGCGATCCGTATACATTCTAGCAGTTCATCCCGGGTATACTCCTTCAGAGTTTGATAAGCATACTCCCTGTCATCAAACACTAGCAGATATAAATATTCAACCTCATCCAGATCCATCCTTCCCATCAACAAGCCAAGATGGCTTCCCTGTGCAGCCACTTCTGGTCAGGATTGGCCTTGGTTGTGTAATGTCAGGGGCTCCCAGGTATGACCAGAGGTGTGTGACTGATGCAGGGGGAAACGCAGACTTCAGATATGTGATAAACAATACAATTTATTAACACTAACCATACAAACATAAACGCAGTGCAATACTAAACATAATACAGTGCAAACAAACCCAACCAATCACCCACAGATAACAGTACATACAAGCAAGCGTCGTCAGGCAGGCCGGTCAATATCAATTGGGCAGGTAGGTACAGGGGGAGCAAGCAGAGAATGGTCGGGGTCACAGGCCAGGTTCAGCAGGTAGCAAGCAGCGTAGTACAGAGGGTCAGCAGAGGGATGGTCAGGGTCACAAGCCAGGGATCAAAACAGGTAACAAGCAGCGTAGTACAGAGGGTCAGGCAGAGGGACAGAAACAGGATGCAGGACAGATACAGGGCCCAGGACAAACACAACACCAAGGCAGAGTCTGTGGTCCTGGCCATCCCCTTAAATACCCCAGCATCATCAGTTCCAGGTGTTAGCTGGCTGAAAGGTTGAGTCTCTGATTGCTGGGAGCACCCGCTGGCCAGCACTGGTACTGCAGATCAAAAGGGCAGGTGAGTCCCACCATTGCTGGCCAGTCCATTCCTGACACCCTTCCAGGATAACCATCATGTTCATCTATAAAGAGGTCCTCCCTGCTCTATATATGCCAGTAAGCACTGGTCATTGGCCCAAAAAAAAAAAAATTGAAACGCCATCAAAAACAGCTTTTTGGTTACAGTGCAAAAGCAGATAGGACCTTAATTGTATTTTTTACGCTTATTGGGACGATTTGACTTCCGGTCCTGATGACCGCACAGAAAGCGTGGAGATGTCCCCAATGGGACAAAGACGGCAGTAAAAACATAATGGACATTCTCACTATTCTTCACTCTGCTTCATAAAAAATGTGTTTTATCACTGACTACCTTTTTTTTAAAGAAATTTTGTTCACTTCCTGTCTTGGTGACCAAACAGGAAGGGAAAGAATATCTTCCCAATGGCTTACGGAAGCTGCTATAAATCAACTGGAAGGTTTAGCCATTTCCCATATGCGGGTACATGAACCTGCCAGTTGGTTTTGAGTTTAAAAGTATAAGTTTGTATGTATTAGACTTTTTCTTGCATTAAAATGTGGCAGATGCTAGCTGTGTATGTCCCTTGCATAGTGTGTGCTGTTTAACTAGTTCAAATGACTAATTTACTGCTGAGCCACCTGACATTTCACAGCTAAGTGGTTTTCAAACCCCAGATCGTTACAGATTGCTTGGTATGCTAGTTCTTGGTCAATTAACGCTGTTTCAGTCATTTTTGTCACAGAGAATATGTGCTGGGACAGAATCAGCTGTCTAGGAACGGTTTAAATAAGCCCATATTTTCTACGTTGTTGAAGTGATTACTAATCTTACATCTAGTGCAGCAAATTGGACAGGGCCACTGGAGACCTAATGCTATGATGTAGCCATTGCTTCACATCTCTGCTTTGCTTGTATACATTGTTAAATGTTATCTGTGTGTGTTATTGATACAGCTTACGCTTTTTTTTTTTTAGAAAGTGGCATAATTCATTTCTACTCATTGTATAGCTCTACTATATTCTCAAATGCTCGATCATTAGTATACCAGTCACTGTGCCTGTGGACCTTACAGTCCCACGTTCCCAGCATGAAACCCCCACAGTCACTTTGCTCTACATTTTTGGGCCCCACAGCCAAATAACCACTTGCCCCTTTTAGCTCTACATCCTAATTCACAAGGCTTGCATCATTGGGTATCTGTAACTGTTACTGCCATATGGTGGTCATTAAAACTAGAAGAGGACTGGTTGGGGACATTTGACCCCTAGCATAGTACCAAAAGATATGCTGTGGGATAGTGGGAATCAGTGGAGATACTTCACCATTCTTATTGCTTTAAAAAAAAGTCCTGGATTCGTTCTTAGACACACAGAATATAACTGGATACTAACATTTATAGGTAAAGTTGATCCAGGATATATCCGATTGCCTTTCTGGGGATCAGGAAAGGAATTTTTTCCCTGCAGGAGCACATTGGATCATGCTTTGCAGGGGTTTTTTTTTTTATGCCTTCCTCTGGATCAACTGTGGGTATAGAATTATACGGTTTTTTTTTTTTTAAATGGTTGAACTGGATAGACTTTTGTCTTTTTTCAGCCAGACTAACTATGTAATACTATGTAATACCATTCAGACATCAGTTGGAGAAGGATTTCTATTCAGTGACACATGCTGGGCATTATATAGCTACCTGCCCCCTGTTTAGACCAGTGATAGCTGCACCTGACAGAAGCAAGTCTTCCAGCACCTAATTTCCTTCTGTCGTTGAGATATCATGTGACCAAATAATGAGAGCTACAAAGGAAGTTGATACTGGAACATGTGTCCCAGTAAAATTGGCTGGTGGGCATGATAATGAGGCAATATGGCACAATACACTCTTTAGCCCCTGTAATCTGGCCATACCATGAAAGGGTTGGCTGTTCTGCCCACCCGCCGTGGCATAACAGCTGTACTCTATGGAAATAAAGAAAAAAAGTGTTACTAAACCCAGGACCCTGCATCCACTGGTCTCCCACAGTACACAGAACATGGAAATGCAATCATTTTAGTAAATATAAACTGCTAAATACCTTTTCTCACCAACAGTTAGAGCAGACTTCTATCAGTGTCCAGCAGAGCACAGATTAAAGCTTGTAGGAGGAGTTTTCATTCTCCTCTGACTATCCTATGAGGCTTCATGACCCCTGACCCTCTGTTTAGACAGTGCTGATTGGCCCTGTCGCGATCACATGCACTCTCCCAAAAAAAAAAAACACTTTAGCAATACACAAAAAACTGAGCATGCACAGAGTGTCTCCTAGAGCTCTGTGGTATGAGCAGATGGGGACTGTGGAAGAAGGGAAGGCTCAGATAAGACAGGATCAACAGCCTTTTTACACAATGTGGAGGATTAAACCCTTCACAGTGAGTATACCGAGCATGATTTACTACATATACAGACTGATTTTACTGATGTGGGTTTAGTAACACTTTAAAGGAAACCTTAGGACAGCTGTTATCTGGTCCAGACAAGAGTCCCATAAAGAAATGAAGTCAGCTATTGCCAGATTCATGGAAGTAGTGTTGGGACAGACAAGTCGCTTTGCGTAATGCTGGACTTATCTACAACAGTTTGTAGCCTTCCTGACAAGTTTCCTTTAATCTAACAAATGAAGATTCAATTTTGCTAAGAATAAACCTACATAACTGCCCAAACAAGATGATGCTGCTTCATACACATGGGCAAAAAAAAATTCCCAGCTCACTTACCTGCAAACAAAACCGAACTGACCCTGTTTGAACTGCAGTACACTGTGGTGTAAAATATATAGACACAGCGCCAATAAATTATATATAAAGCTGCAAACCTAACCAAAGAAAAAGTAAGTGACAAAAAATATATGAAGGAATGCACTAAATACTAAATCACATGAAAATGCACATAAATACATAAATAAAATAAAAAATTTATTTATAAATGTCTGTAATTTCTTATATAAGTCCAAACACCAATATAAGTGATTAAAAAATCTCTTTAAACAAGAAAAAAATAAACACTGTGTAGCAAAATCCACCACCGAATGAAATGGGTAAACTCACCAGAAGCTATTTGCTGATCAAATTATAAATCAGCAAAAATAGCAATTGCTCTGGAAGCGATGATCTGTTGGAGTATCCAGGAGCAATAGACTGCAATCAGCCAAATCAGCACACATGGAACAGCCTTAACTGCAAGTGGTCATCATGCCTTCATAACTTTGGAAATGCTCAGGGAATCAAAGAAGAGTATCATGGTGCAGTATATTAAAACAAAGATCATTTTTATTGTAGCCTTAAATATGCACTCACAAGAAAGGTGTCCAACCGACACCTGCAATACCAGTCTCAAAAAGCTAAAGGCAGGGATGAGCCTCGCTCACCGCGATCACAGCCGACACTCTCAAGGAGCGTCCTGACGTCCCATCCACTAAGCCCGTCCCTACGCGTTTCGTTATCCAACGTCTTTAATGGGCCGGCAATCACTTATATTGGTGTTTGGACTTATATACGAATTACGAACATTTTATAAATATATTTTTTTTATTTTATTT